TTTATATTGTCCCCTTCGTGGATCGAACACGATACCTCCAGATGATTGTGACTGAGAAGACTTCAGTCTGGCGCTCTCCCAATTGAGCTAAGGAGACTGGTACGCGATGGAGCGATGGTGGGTTAAAGGTTTCACATTACTGCGTTTTTTCGTTGGCTCAGTAGCATCAGAGCAGATTCTAGCATAATCGATTGTCAAATTTGCCGTAGTGCGTTGAGCTTCCTTTTTGTGAAGATCGAGGAATTTTGCGTGCCGAGGACTAGTGGTGCTAGTTTGGTGGAGGTTGCGGTTTCGGTAAGGTTCTGTGGGGTTAGTAGTGTGGAGGTTGTTGATGTTTTAATTGATATGGTTAAAGAAAAGACACGGCGGGATTTCTTTCTCTGGTATTGGATTACGTGTAGGGATGTAATAGCTTCATATTGTACGTCGCATGCTGGGTGTCGTGTGAAGTGCTGAAGCCAGAAGTGGTTTGACGCTGGTATGAAAGTTGGCGGTGACATGCGTTGAAAAGCGGAAAGGTGGTGATGTAATTGCTTTGGTAAAAGATTGTAAATCGGGAGTATACAACCTGCAAAACTAGTTGCTTCTGAAAAGTAGCGTTTGTGTGAAGATGCAGTAGGGAAACAGGATGAGACTCAAAGGCTACACGTGAGCTCGATGACGACATTCCGCGCGTTCAGCGTGAATGTCCAATGATCGATAAGATATGCATTCACAGACATTGACATGTTTGCGACCGCTGCTTTGCTTCCGCAAGACCAAGAAAAGGACGCAAAAATCACAGTCCGGAATGCCTGGTTTTGGAAATACCATTCAAGTAAAAAGAAAAAAGTGACGAAGGAATGTTGATTGGAAATGCTGACTATTCCTAACCAATCATGTCGCAACTAATTCTGCTGACATGCACAGCTTACCTCGCAAAAGACGCAGTACGTGACCGCAGCCATTATGTCGTGATCAACACGCTATTCGTCGCTGATCCTTTATTCTCCATTGAAAGCGGGAAAATTCTTTGCCGCAACGTAGCACTCTCGCACGCACTCGTCCGACAGTGGTGTGATCCATGCAATGTGAAGGGGGCAAGTCAAGCGGTGGCTAAGTAGGTAAACCCACTGTGCACGCAACCGAACATCTTACGAGCGCGCCAGTCACACTAAGCCAAACCAAGATGATAATGGATAACTTGTGATGGTCCTTCAGTCAGCTTACACATGTGCAAATTGTCAGCAAAAAAATGGATTTGTGAGCAGATTTTCCTTTTGGTTGGGCAGCATGTAGATGCTAAATAGTCTCGGGAACAAAGCGCGGAATCAAAGCGCGGAGAACACAACTTAGCGGCAAATAGTTATCACGTTAGAAACTCCGCGCCACCAACTGACTGTACCTGTGATCGTCCGGTTACTCGTTTCGTTCTAGCCCACGGCCGCGGCTTGTGTGAAGTACCCCTTCCCTTCCCGCCCTCCCCCCTTGCCTGGGAGCCTAAAAAGAGAGCACAAAGAGTCATATGTACGTACTACCGCCAGGCACCCATACCACCTATATCTCGAAACACATCCCCACTCGGAATTTAAGAAGATCTCACAACTGATCTTGTGCTCCCTTCCCAAAAGTCAAACCAAGAATTACCCCAAAAGGCAGAGCCACACACGCGTAAGACGCTACAAGACCCCACATATCCCGACCCGAAGCCACCTACGCAGCCCCACATTGCGAAGAGGAGGAGGGCTAAGTGATACAACTACATCAGCCATCGCCGTCGCCTTTGTCCTATAATTCCCGGATCCAAAGTACCTTATCTCTTCTTACTTCAAAACCAAATCTTCAAGTCACACGTTATCCACGAAAAAAAAAACAATCGGCAGAAATTATAACGAAAGGAAACAAAGGAAAGGAAAGGTAGTCGTAATGGCGCTCTCAACACACGCAATGTCGCATATCCGCCGCTACTCAACACGCATGCCACGCGACCCTCACTACCGCCTTAAAGCCTCGCTCGCAACCAGCTACGTGGTGACTGCGTGTGCACTGCCGTTTGTACCACCGCTGCTGGAGACGAGGAGAGCAAAGGCAGATGGAAGTTGGATGACAAAGTACGTTGAAAGACCATTCATTTCCTTTGGTATACTTCACATCAGTCGTCATGAAAGCATACAGGATTGAAAGAAAAATACTAATTGCCGAGCAGAGAAAATATGCATTGTTCGTCGCAGTTTCTGGGTTGTCCAAGGTGAAGCGTGGGGTGTTTAGGTAAGATGTCGCAGATCTGAAGTAAATGATGAAAAGGCCTAGACTAACCAGGTCGTCCAGTTATCTTCTTACATCTTTCTTTATTCAGACTTCCAACATATCCGGCGTTATTGGTTACTTTCTTCGCTCTCTGATACGATGATCAGAGTATAGTGGATTTATCCCAACACATTTGATTGGGCAATGTTTTAACGAGAGTGGTTCCCGAGTACTATTTGTATGATTTGAATCGCGATCAAATACATGTTTAGTAAACTTGCTAGTACTGAAACCTTACATGCTGACTTCCCTGCTACTACCCCTCCTCAGTCAACATCGCTAGGATGAGTCTGTTGGTTTTCTACCGCATCGTGCATCTCTTCTTCCTCGTCTTCATCCTCGGTAGCCGTTTCGTACATGGTGACGTAAAACTCCCCATCGTGCTCGAAAAATTGCAGACTCTCGTCGTCCATAAACCCGTCGTCTTCATCCAGCTCAAGGTCGAGCTCCATGTCATCATCTTCCTCCAGGTCGTCTACTTCGAAATCGTCGTCCGTGTCAACCAGTGCATCAGCCTCTTCATCGGTTTCAAAAATTTCCATGAATGGAAGCCGGCGACCAGGTCGCACAAACTTGTGCCTCAGGCGATGTAGATCACGCCGCGTGCTAGTTAATATCTCGTTGATGTCAAGTTCGCCTAATTGATCCGTCTCAGGGGGCGGTACACCAAATTTCACTATGTCGCCCGGATTTACTATATGCCGACGGAAACCCACTTCATCGGCATCGTACACACAATGAACGACTGGAACACGTTCATTGTGCAAATATGGGGGTATCAGGCTTGGGCTCTTATGCAACTCTATCAGCATCCGGAGATTGATGCCAGCTTTGAAAAGTTTGTATGCCTTTGCATGCCTATTGCGAAGAGACTCAGGGTTGCAGATGTAGCTTGGTTCAGACAGATCGAGCCTACTCATTGTCAGTGAATGCTACAAGACCGAGCGGCCTCTTTCCAATAGTATCACTATTGTTCTATAACTTACCAGATGTATGAAGATTGCATAAGTTCAAGGGTGTCGAGGGACGGGAGCGCAGCGTAATGATCGAAGTCGGGGGGATGATCCCAAAAATCAACAGGAACATCCCAGTGTCGACGGATTCGAAGTGTGTGAAGTTGAGGAGGAGCTAGATCGCGGTTCATTACAATGGCTGTATGCAGGAATGAAGTTGTATCGCACTCCATGTAGTCAAGAGCATGGAAGTTGCGCATGCCCTCGCCAGGAGGCCGAACACTGCGAAAAACATGCGGGCTCGTATCTAGATGCCACCCAGGGTCAAGGTGTGTAAGTCTTTCTAGTGAATGCGCAACAGCCGATAGTGCCTTCAACGAAGCGCCTGGGTCTCTAGATAGAATAGGTTTGGCACCCCGCGACCGGTTGACATTGAAGACATTTTCGCCGAGGGTCAATGACTTGAGTCGTGCTGGTGTGCGCAAAATACTCAGCAAACTCTTAGGCTGAAGCTCGCACTCGTCAAAATACAGTGATGTTAGGGGTGTTTTGCCGATATGTGTGGCAAGTTGGGGAATTTCTGCATCTGGAAAAGCAACGCAAGAGATATGAAGATGGCGAAGGGTGGGGTGTTGAAAGAGACAATGAAAACCATTGAACTCCCAGAAATCCGTGTCAGCACCGTGTGAATGAATCGTCAGACGCTCTAGCAAAGCCAGTCCTACGGTTCGCTCGACATGTTTGCCAAGGCGTTGTTCTGCCAGAATGTTGTCTGCCTCTCTGGGGCCTTCTGCGCATGCAGTGTCCAGTGCGCGTCGGAAGCGCTGCATGTCGCCTTCAACCCAAGCCTCGCCACCAGCACCTTCCCAATGAAAGTTGTCATATGGGCTTTCAATGTGCCAATCTCGCAGATTGACCATATCGGCGACATATTCGTTGAACGTCCCCCGCAATTCGTCGCTGTCTTTCAAGTCCCCTGGCTGGTATTGATATAGGATTTTCAGTGTTTGTACGGCGCGGATGCGCTCACGGCGCAGCGTGAAGGCTGAGATGATGGCATGGAGATTCTTGACTGAGAGAAGCTCGACTGTCTTGTAGAGTCGCTCTTCAGCCAGATGCTGCATGCTACGACACGTTTGGGCGAGCGCACATAGAGCCTTGTTGCTGCCTTCGAGATGGTCGATTACGAGAAGGGCAAGTTCGTTGGGAAGCCGCGATTTCGCGCTGCTAAGAGAAGCTGAAGCCATGACACGCGATTTATGACTTGGATATGGGTGTATATTGATGGATGGTCGCAATGTTGATGGCCTGCTGCCTAGGCGTGGAAGATAGCACTATTTCCAGTCAGGAAATGAGCTCCGAGGGCGTCTTACCAGCAGGCTGACAAAAGTACGGTACCTTTACTCACCAAGCAGCTCCTCTTCAGTATAGATTATTTGGGTTCGAGTATACCCCTCATAACAAAGAAGCTGTTCAGGACGCGAATTTGGCCAGCACTATTGGAATTATGCAGGGACGAGCGATAAAGAGCCGACTGCGGGGTTGCATGGGCACTGGCCAATGACGTCGGCGCGCCGTCAAAAATCCCAAGCACATGTCAAACCACACACTCTCCTAGAATTCACATAGCCTTTGGCATGGCATCACCTTCACCTTCACCTTCATTAGGTTGCTCCATGATGTTGGTACTACTAACTGATCCCACAGTGGGCTGGCCCAAACTGGACAGCAACTCCCACACCAAATGGTACATCAAACACGATGGATCTTGACTTTCATAGCACCAATGAAAATAGAAAGCGCACAGTAGAAGATACGTCGAACACGGAGATATCTGCATTGTACTCCCAGGACCCTCCGCCCCGCGTCCTCCGTCGCTACCATCACCGGCATCACAATGCTGCTTCTGAAATGTGGGGTCTAGACATTCCCTCGTCTCGAACGGACTCTCCCCCTCGAAATGACACCCAAAAGCGGCCATTTAGCGTCTACAAGGCTATTCTCCGGCACAATAACCTCTTCTTTCAGTTTGCTCTTCGCCTGCCGTATTCTTCCATTATCGACCTCTACGCCATTGATAAGGAGTTTCATTATCGCCTCAACAAGTACAGCGTCTCACTCATCCACGACTATGCCCATCACCATGCTCCTCTGGCCAGTCACATCTTCAGCTGGGTGCTGTATCCGCAACTATGCATCTCAGATCCGATGCTCAGGCCAATGGATGAGCGGCAGTGGCTAGCGCGTGATGTGCCCGGCTTCCGCTGGGTCGGCATGATACTCTGGCGCCAGAAAATTGTTCGATCCATCCTTACAATCCTCAGCATGGAAGGCCATAGGGTACCTGCTGCATGTGAAGCTACACTCATGAAGTTTTGGTGTCTCATGGAGATGAAAACTACAAAGCTGCGCCTCTCTTTCCTTAAGGATAAAGAGATCTGGGCTGATGCCGACATCATCAACTTTCAGCTTCTTCTTGTGAAGCTCGACATGCGTTTTTCAGACCCTATTCTAGGAAATGGTTGTTGTCAGCTTGCGTCTTTGCTACTCGGCCAGAAGAGTTTAAGTACGCTGTGGAAGGTGCTGAGTGGCAAACTCAAGTTGGGCTACGACACGTTAAGTAGTATGGTGGTCAGGACATACCATGCAGATGATCTTGATGCACAAATGCATGCTATGTTTCAAAATATGACGGACGAAGAGGAGGATCCACTAGGTATTTTGGCTCGTGAGGGCTGGCACAGGGACGGTGCCAAGATGGAGCACGCCGTTGATATGGTCATTGCTGAGGGCATCCGAAGGGACCTACACGTCCAAAAGTACTATATGGATTTTATCCTCTATGGCTTCATGGATGAGAGGACTGGAAAGAATGTGCCTGTACCGAGACAGCTGAGGGGCGAGAAGAATGTGAATCTCCCAAGTGAAGAATGGCCAGAAAAGAAGTTGAGAGATGACACTATCAAAAAGATGGATGTCCTTTTTGGGTTTGTCGAGAGCAAAAAAGGGGGTGCACTGGATACCAGCACTTAGATTCCAAGTACACGAAGCTCTGGAACTCTGTGCGACGAGGCACACTTGAGCAGTATACAGTTCAAAGAGAAAACGATGCAAATGCCTCTCATCCTCTTCTTTTACATACAACGGAATCTATCATATCATATCACAATCCGCATGCCTCACCTTCCCAACGCCAAATACTCCCCAACAACCCCCCTATAATCCCCCGGCATATACGCCGTAAACCTCTCCCTCCACCAACTCCCCTTCCTCTCATTCCTCACCCCAACATCCCGCAACAACCGATCCACATACGGCAAACAATCAAAAAACATATCCGGGAACCTGGCCCCGAACCCGCGGCTGTAGCGCCACCTGCTAAACTGCGTGTGCAGCACTGTTTCGTACATGATGCGCTTGGATGCTGTCATGTTCTGGAGGGACGGGATGCGGTCGTCGAGGTAGGCGGTTATCCATAGCGCTTGGGTTTGCGATATTATGGTTGTGGCGGGGCTGCGGTAGGCGCCAGCGAAGGCGAGGGTGCGGGTTGGGATGAATGCGGGAGGCACTATGTAGCGGTAGAGGCGGTAGGGTTCTTGCTGGTTTTCCTTGCTAGTCTTTTCTGCAGACGCATTGCGTGGGGTAGGCTGGTTCTGGAGTTTGGGGAAGGTGGCGAAGATTTGGGCGTCGGCGGCGCGGATGTGGTCTTTTGGTGTTTTGGAGGTGTGGCCGGGGAGACCGAGGTCTTTGGTTGTTTGGAAGTCGAGCTGAGGTGTGTCTTTCCAGCCTGTGCCGCATATTAGGACGTCGGATTCGATTGCAGTGCCGGTGGAGAGGTGGATGGTGTGGGGAGAAAGGTGCGAGATGTCTGCGATGTGAACTTTGATCATGCCGTTGCGCACAAGCTCGAAGAAGTCGCTTTTATAGTTCAAGAGACCGCGGTTTGTGCCGATGAAGAAGACGTCGTCCCAGGGTTTGAGCTTTGCGGTTTCGGGATGGGAATCGTAGCCGTTGATTTGTTCAGTGGCGTGCTGCATCTTCTTGAAAAGGGCGTCTGAGATCTTCTTTCCGAACCAATGCTGATGGAAGAAGTTGCGGATGTAAGTGAAGCCATCATCCCACATGCTCGGGCTAAGCCATGTAATCAGTCGTGTTTGTATAAGTAGCTCCGGGATGATCTTTAAAGGCGTCAGACGGTTTGGCATCATCCAACAAGGACCGTGGCCTGATTCCCGGATGATCCAGTCCACTTGGACGCCTGCGGAGGCATAAGCATATGCAATATCCCATGAGAATTTGGCGCCGCTGAGTAGAGTAATCTTCTTATACGGTCCCAGGCCGCCCTCGGCTTTTGCAAATTCGCTCGAGTGATATATTGGTGCACCAAATGTTTCCTTCCCATCAAGTTTGGGCATCGAGGGTTCCGAAGTCAGCCCCGTTGCAACGACTAACCTCGAAGCCTCGATTTGGTGCTCTATTTCGGTCGAGTTTGTATGTTGTGAGACGGTTAATATCCAGCCCATCGATCCTTGGTCCACGGCTGATTTGACACTGGTTTCGAGACGCATGTGTTTTGCCAAATCGAAGGTTTCCACGTAGCTGTGCAAGTACTTGTTGACATGTTCTCCAGGTATATGACCGTCTACAAGGTCGAAGCCCTCTGTATCCATGGGAAGGTCGCTAAACTATACCCGAGTCAGCCTCACTCGCCTTGCTTCCTGGAGGCGCACATGTACCTCGAACGTGCGGAAATGGTTGTTTGTATGAAGTCCTGGGTACAGTTTTTCTTTTGCCCATACCCCTCCTATTGAGGGGGACTTGTCGAGAACCAAAATTGACGCCTCGGGGTGAACATCGCGATATGTTTTGGCGATGACTAGGCCGTGTATACCTGCACCAACGACGACAAGATCGAATTTTTCGATATCAGCCATAACGACGAATACCAGATGGTGCTGTTTTGCTATCGATGCGAAATGCGGACATTGCGCGATATATCTATCTAGTCTCACTGAATTTATGGCTTGATTGAGTTGCGCCACGGCTGACTGAGAGCTAGAACGCCCCTTGTCTCAGGCCAGATGGCACCAGCCCATCGTTCAATAGTGTGCTGGCTGAAGAACCAGCGACGGGCGACTAGCAACCGAGCACAATCTAAACGAATCCTGAAGCCAACGGCTGACAGCAGAAGCGAGAAATTTATCATTGACTCGCTCTTGCAGGTCGACGTGTATAGGATCATGTGGCAGGTGCTTGAAATTCTCGTCAGCATTGTCTGGATCTGACCAGCGCAATGCTCGCTGTGGCGTAGGGTTCAGATAGGTGGCTGCACTAGCACACAACACTAAGTGGGGAACATGAAGGTTGAGGCAGAGGTGGCTTGAGACCATTTGGTCAAGCCATACTTTCGTATGCCAATCACATACTCTGAATGAGGCGTGTTTTCGCCACCTGCTTAAGTGCGATGCCGTTCGATTCTTATCTCTTGTATGCTCGAACAGCTCAGAGGACTTTGCGCATCGCATCAGGAATGCAATGTAATATGATATAGAGAACCTGGATGTAAAATTTAAAGAAGAAAACTACCGAAGGTTGGAAGACACGCTGAGAAAGGTGTGTGGTAGCTGATGCAGCTCTAGCACAACCGCACTACACCAATCATGATGCGATACTTGTACTTGGCGACCAGCCGCCTCCTCTTTTCGCTCATCACAGTCCGTTGCGAAGTACTGAGAGACCTTTTTGGGGCATGTTGCCATTCGAGTGCAACAGTGAAACGGATATCATGGTGATTGCTGACGGGGCCAGTCAGGTCTCATACCACGCAAGCTTTGCTAAGCATCGCTAAGCATGAAAACAGTTAACCCTTTTCTTCGTTTGTAGTACCAAACCTGAGCTTACCAACCATTGAAACCACAGTGCATGCTGCGGTACCGGTTCGGTAACTTACCGCGGGAAGCAGCAGCAATCAAAGGATATGTAGATGGGGGATCAAATGTGTTGTACCATCACCTCTTTCCATGTTGTACAAGGCGTGATAAACTGATGGAAATGCGCACATAGCGCGGAAAGAGCGGAGTATCTCTGCGTTTGAAGGATTATATATCAAGAGGTCATTGCGATGAGGGACAATAGTTTGGCTGCAAGGTTAAGCAGAGATTGACTATCATCCTTCTCCCGAACAAAACAGCACAAAAGGCCAGGCGCAATCGCTCAGCATAATGATCCATCTCTTCTTCTTTGTTTTATACGCCAGTCTCTCCAAGTCCTTTCCATTCGTACGAGAGGCCAAATCTACATGGCAATTCTCAAGCATTTCCTCGACGCCATCTTGGGTATCCGACATTACTACCAGTACTGGTGCGAAGTTTCTTCGATTGGACGTTGACCACGTTTTGATAACCGCAAGCGAGACTGCATACGAAAAAGACGAGCCAGAGATGACGTGCGATGTCAGGATTGGATGTTTGACCATGCGGACATGAGATTCGATCAGGTGAATTCGTATGCTGCAGGAAAAGAAGGGACTATGAGGCGGCCTCATGATTATTGTGTATTTAAGATGTCAAAGGCATGAAATGGTATGAAATGGCATGGAATGGAGCTTCAGAGAGCTCAATTTGGTCTATCGTCTTCTATGACCAAACCATCTATTTGCTTGAGAGGATCCGGATCAACGGCAGTGTGTTCCATGCCTACTAACCCCACCAGAGCCTCATCGTCAATATAGTCTCTTGTTTCGGGGTTCGAGTTTGGCTGCTGACCATGTGCAGCCTTGAGCTTCAAGATTTCACTTTCACTGAACTTCTTGAATGCTTTCGGATTCTTCTTTTCTTTCTTGGCATGTGACTCGCTCTTGAATTGGTAGCCCCTCACACGCGGACCTTGGCCAGTCTTTTCGGGAAGGATGGGTTCGTAGTAGGCTTCAAACGCAGCCACGTCAGCATCAAAGGTTCCAGCTTCGATTGAGGCTCGTACTCCAGCAAAAAAAGCTGAGAGGATGGCGTGATTGTGCATCTGAATCAACACCCAACCTAGCATTTCTTTGGCAGCAAGGAGGTGTTGAAGAAAGGCGCGATGATGCTTCATACAGGCATAGCAAGTGCAGCCGTCTGAAAGCGGGGTGATGGATTGCGCATAATGGCCACCCCACATATCAATTCCTAAAGAGCGGCGGGTAGTGTCACTTGACTCGTTCCTGGGCGCTGGGAAGGTGAAATCGAGCACGATGCCAGCATCTGTAGCATCGTTTACAAAAGGGACGGTAAATATATCCATGCCCAGGCTGATGTGACGGAGAAGCTCGTGGGGGGTGGCTGGGGCATGGAAAGACAATCTGGGAAGGTGGTGCAATTGGTCTGGGAGGTCATCGAGTAGATAGGCGTCGTATATAGCAACACCGCTGATTTTGTCCACCATGTCGTCGAGTAGATGTTCGAGATACCATGACTGGAGGTCGCGCTCAATAGGCAGTATGGGCGCAAAGATAGCGCAACCTTTGCCTTGATTATCCACTGTGCCTTGCTTAATGACCAAATCGCGCAGCCACGTCTCGGTCCTGTCGCTCATCCTGTCTTTGCGCTTGAGGCTCACGGACTCCTGGCCAAAGGGAATATCGGCCAGCCCGACAACAACATCCGGTTGTAGCTTGTTCGTAGCGGCGGCATAAAATTCCGACGAGACAGTGGTGAAGCCGACAGAAGTCAAGAGGCCTACTTCCGTGTTTGAGTTTGCGTGGGGGCTCGGTATGGGCGGATTGCGACGCGCACCCAGGACGAGGAGTGTCTCTGGAGGGAGAGCGATGAAGTTGCGGAGTGGATCGGGAACGTCATACTTCAGTACAGGCGGTGTTTTTTGAGGGTGCTTTTCCACGACTGCAAAGAGTCAGCCATGTGCTGGAGCTGCTGATGGCTGCGCTACCCACAATCTTCGAGCGGAACATAGACGCCCTCTAGGCCGACCTTTTTCTGGAAATTATCTTGGGAGATGTGCGGAATGATACCGCGCGACGTGCTGCCGATGAAGCCAGGGGTCAGTATCTTGTTGCGTCCTGGCACCGACAGGCGGCCAAGTCGTGGAGCCAGGGAGCCTGCCGCCTTGAGAAGCGTGAACTCAAGCATCTCGGCTGGCAATTGGTCTAGCTTCTGCGTTGGGCTTTCAACAGACATCCTGGCACTGAACTACGATTCTGTTGGATTGAGAAGCCGGCCCCACGTCTTACCACACGTCCAGAGGGGTTACGGTGCACAGTGACTTTCACAGCGGGGCATCTTCATCCTCGTCGGCCCACCCCGCTACAAATGAGCATCGAAATGGTCGGTGCGCGCACGTGATCACGCGTAGCACCACGCGTGCCATCCTCTTAGCGTAATTACATAATCATTCCAGCGGGTGTTTATTGGGACGATCGAACCAGTCCATTATTGACGCTTGCTACATACATAAATATCTAGTAGCCCAACTTCTTCGCTCTCTTCTCTCCCAATATATCGACCAAGCTCACCAGCTTGAAGCTCGCCTCCTTCGCAGTCCCTCCCTCAGCAAGCTCATTAGCATCGTCGTGCGTAACAAACAAGCCGCGTGGAAAGTCCTTGTTAAGTGCGTTGCCCACCGCAGCAATTCCATCCGTATTGCTTACATGGTCGATTCCCTTTTTCTTGTTGTCCACGATAGTGAACCTGCTAACGTACGCATGCGGCGGTGCTCGCTCATAGATGATGTATGACGAAATTCCCTGCGACGAGACCATAATATAGCCGTCAGGTCCAGACTTAGCAGGCACAAGCGTGAGCCCCTCCGCGTCAGCCTGGAGACCGCTCTCATCACCTATCTTGGCGATTTGAACACCCGTCTTAGAGCCATTGGGCTCGGCCTCATATCGCCAGATCCCTAGCCCTTCTTCGCTAATGAACACGTATCCAGCACTATCATCGCTAACGCAACCTTCAACCTGACCGCCGGAACCACCTTGGAACTCACGTACGAGGGTAGATTTCAAGGTACCATTGGAGCTGCTCGTAAGCTCGTATTGCAAATACTGGGCTGCTTTGTTGTTTACGAACAGGTACTCCTTTCCTGAGACCTTGGACCGGTAGTTACACGACCCGTATGGTTCATAGTCTTCGGGGAGAGGTTGGATACCTCCTGATATCTCACTGAGATAGCCTGTGCTATTGACTTCCACCAGACTTCATCCTGTTAGCCAAAGTCTCTTGCCTACAGCTTCGCTACTTACCAGAGAGTGTTATCGCCACGGCATGCAGCATATGCAAGATCCACTGTGCGAGTACCAGCTGTAAAGTTGTAAATGATATCGACGTTGTTCGGTTTGCTCGCCGTCAGGTGTTGCAAGAGCTTTCCCTGCAAATCAAAGACACCAAAGCCCTCGCCTTCCTCAGATTTGGTTGTAGTAATGACCTTGCTTTGATCCGGCCTGGTGGCATGTATCCAGATCGCTGGGTCATCGCCGTCGCCACCGTTAGCTTCAGTCTCGTATTTGGGCTTGACAGCGAGAAACGAGCAATCCGGTCCCGCCCATGAGTCTTTGCAGCTGCATACGTTAGGACCAACACAATCTCCCTGTCCAGAACAGTCATTTTTGCAGACCGTCTTAGAACAACCCCGACCAGTAAAACCGGCGAAGCAAGAACATCCTGCGTTACCAAGAACTCCATTGTAGGAACAAGCCTTTGAGATGGCGCTCTCGCAATCCTTGCAAGGCTTGCTTGCGGGATTGTACTTGGTGTTGGGTTGGATACCTAGGGATTCTAGAGCACCCGAGAGAGAGCCCACAGCAACGCCAGTGTCTTCCTCACCCTCGAAGGCAAATGCGACAACACCGGATGGATAGCCAGCAATAGCCGATTGCAGAATGGAGAGCCCTCCCTCAATGGATAGCTCTGATATTCCACTCAATGCAATGCTTCCCTTTAGTTTCACTGTCGCGTCATACACATCAAGCGTCGTGTCATGGGCGACGAAAAGGTAGTCCTCAGAAGTGCCATAGTAGGTAGCTAGGCCAGCAACCTTCACGTCGTTGGCCACAGTCTGGATTGCCGGAGCTCCGGGGGTCTCCGAAGCCTGGAACGAGTACAATGGCCGGTCCTCGGCTGAGAAGAAGACTTGGCCATTGGAAAAAACAGAGCAACTCTCGCCCTCGATATCGACAGGAAAAGTTTGAATCTTGAATAAGTCAGCTTCGGAGTTTCCTTCAAAAGATGGCGCAGGTGGTTTTACCTCTAAGACTTCGGGTTGGTCTTTGCGATCTCGAATCAAAAACTGCACTACCATTTTCTTTCCGAACAGGAAGATGTAGCTTTCCCCACTCTTTGCGCTACGCCAAGTGCAGGCAGTGCTCCAATCACCAAGCTGAATCTTGTTGTTGCTTTTAAGTCTCTTTCCTGTTTGACCCTCAAAGATTCTGATCAAGGAGTCTGGCGCGGGTATGTTGACAATGAGATCACGGCCATCGATGTCGTGAATTGGTACCGCTATCTTGGATCGACCACTCCTTTCATGGAAACTTCCTACAAGGGAAGTTCCGTTCGAAAAGGCAAATGATCGGAAACCCCCATCTGCTGCACTACCATCGTTCACAACCAGGCGCGGTGATGCGCCGTAGATGAAGTTGGTGTTGTCTCCTTCGAAACCGGTAGCCGCGGGAACAAGTGTAATGTTTGCGTCTTGAGCAGAAACGGACGAGATGAGGCCTGTCGCCAAAATGGCGCAACCCGAGGAGACCCTCATGTTGAGATTGGAGATGGGCGGGTTGATCGAGGATGCCCAAACATCATAGCATGAGCAGTAAAGCCCAACTTAAACATGCGCAAATCCCTTGCCACCCTTGCGCACGTTCAACGAATGCAATCATCAGCCTGAGGGCTTCAAGGCGTTGTTGCCAAATAAGGATCCATCTCCTTGCTAATATAACCCGAAACAGTAGTTGGGAGTGAGGTGCATAAAAGGCCAATAGATCCAGTTTGGTGGGACGGCCAATAGCAACGCGGAACATGACAACGTGAGAGACTCGGTAGAAATGTTTCATCAGCACCACATGCCAGCCGCGCTCCAAGTAGCCGGTGCCACTTTTATTTTGACTGCACGCGAAAGCCCCGAGTTCAAGGGCAGAGTCCTCGTTGTCTGTGTGCAGCTTGTGTACAAAGGTGTCTTTCAAAAGTTCTTGCTGACAGGGATGATCTGCATTACTACTGAAATACTACCGAAGCTTAATTAGATATGTCCTACCGCCCCTCCTTATACTTATTCAGGCTGGTATTTGGGTAGGGTAGGGTTGGGTAGGGTTGCCAAGAGTTGGGTAGGTGTAGGGTAGGGTAGGGTAGTGTTACACGGTGTTAGGTGCTGATACTTCTCTAAGCTCGATCCGGGTTAGGGCGAGTAGGATAAGGTAAATAGCTTCGTAAGTAGGCTGGTCATTAGTGTAACGGCGCAGGCAAGACGACTCGGATCAGTATCGGCAGTAGAGTCACTCAGAGGCATATAGGAGTGCGTGGGACATCAAACGAGCCTTGATTCAAATAGACACCTATAGGCCTTGTACGAAAGGATATCAAAAATCTACATAATAAGCTATTATAGAGGTTGGGTTTATATAGTCGTTTTTCCCACTAGGCTAGATCGTACCCTAGTTCGGATCCCATTCGGATGTATGTAGCAACGGACGCTGAGCCGTTACAATTAGGTCTCCACATTGGGATCTCAAAAACGCGATTATCTCTGCGAATAATTACCCAATGTAGACATGTAGTAGCTCATTTTATAGCCTCTAATCTAAGCTTTATGTTTGCCTGAGATATTAATAGTCTAACTCTAATAGGTAAGAAGTAATTAGTCTACCTACTTTACTAAGAGTTAGGTCTCTATATTTCACTCTAATCGTAGATATCTTCCTACCTATTATAGCTAACTTATCACTATATTAATCAAAAATGAAGCTTAGATTAGGGGCTATAAAATAAGCTATTAAATATCTAAATTAGGTAATTATTCGCAGAGATAATAGCGTTTTTGAGATCCCGATATGGAGAACCAATGACCAGCCTACCCCTAACTCGGCACATGACATTACTCGCTTCCGCGGTGCAGGGTAAATAACTTAGGGGATTCTTGCGTCATTATCGTGTTCCCCTGAAAATGTGTGACTCGTTTTGCTCAAGAACATGGTAATCTTTGTCGCATCTTGTTGGTTGACAGTTGCACTACTTGCATGTCACTTCGACTACTGGTAGCAGTAAGTCCATATCAGGTAAGGCGTGCATCCTAGCTCAAATGTAAATCAACGTACTTGTGCCTGCTCAGCTCTGGGATGCACATTTCGCCGCTGTCAAAATATAGCTCAGTGTAAGATTTTTGACACAAGTAAAGCTCGAGTAGGGGCATATTTCAAGGGTTTCCTTTGACGAGCGAACACGACGATTTGAGCAACTCAACGCGTGCGCGATAGCGAAAGATGAAACATAGTGCCCAAATACCATCCGGTAAGGTCCATGGCGGTATTAGGATGCTTTAGAAATGTTTCTGCCTGTCGCTCCCAAAAATTGGGAAATTTGAATACGATATAGTGAAGAGACATGTCAACCAGAGGCACTGACACGAAGCGACACACATCTGGAGTACAACAAATTGAAGCAAAGAAATGAATACAACATTTTCCCAGTAAACAATCCACTCCAGTCCCTGTCCGCTCATACCGTACCTAAACATCGACAGTACCCTAGCCAGACTAGCCCTGTCGAACTAGAATTGTAAAACTAGTCGATTCAGTTCCAGGAACAAGAACAGAATACTTCAAGCCCCACCATATGAACAAAGTATCCACAGCAACACTATCTAAAGCTTGGAGTTTGACCATTAGTTTATCCTGAGCCACTCGGTATAAGGTGATAATCGCGGTTGCAAAGGTCAAGTTGGCTCTGTCAAAAAATTGTTGTAGAGCCTGAAGAATGAGCACAGTTGTTCCATTTCCAAGGCAAGTTCATGACAGGAGTGAGATACCTGAATACATATGGTGGGGCTTTTCTTGTAAGGTTCATAATATCTTCACTTATACCCAATGCACAGAGCCGAACAATCTCGTAAATACACCGATCGTCGCATGATCTCTGTCAGTATTAGATCATGTTTCTCTATACTGTAGTGTAACGGTTGATGTTAGATCACGGGTTAGAAGGTCTATGCTGCATATGGTCCTGCGCTTCACTTGATTGAACAGCGGAGATATGGTATGGAAAGACATTAGATGAAGATGTGGGCCCTGTGTTGAGGTTCATTGGCCATATCTTAGTCATAGGAATAGGTGCACTGTTCACGGCGTCTGATCGGCACTCATATCAGGTCCCGTAACCACTTTAGTATGTTACTCCAGCTCAATCTCAAATGGTGTCTTCGAGTGTCAGCTTCTGTAGTGCCCTTCTGTCTAAGGAAGAACCTTCAAGATACTCTCAAGACAGCCTTCTGAACGCGCCGCCTGTCATTGCATGAGCTAATCCGCCGCATGTCCCCCATTGTGCGACCCAATCTCACGCCATGCCTCTACTACATTATTTATATTTGATTGTCGACCCCACAAAATACTCTCTCAAGCACACATGCCACTTCCGATGCATTCTTGGAACAAGCGGTTCCAAGCCTCCACGTGCAACATCCAAATTAATATTAACAACTCCAACGTAATACCAGAGAAGCTTGGTTTAAGCTTTCACCAACCTGCATCCGCCCCACATGCCATAGTGCGCCTGTTATGCGCTAACCCCGCACTGCACCCCAGCTATACGGCTCTTGACTTCATCTACCGGAGTATTGACTACTTGGCGAAAGCGTTCCAATCATGAAGGTTACGCACCTTCACGACTCAGGAAGTAATGAACAGGGCCTATGAAAAAGTTGATCACACGATGCTGTAGCTCCTTGGGTGCCGTCACAGTGAGACCTTTGAGATATATTCGGATTGTACGGCCCGTTGGATATTCAGCCTAGTGACTGAGAGATCCACCCCAATAGTGAATTTGATGAAATGTACCAAGAAACTTTCATAACAGCTCGTTCAAAGGTGTGCTGGCGTAGAAACAAAGCATGGCCTGGGGGCATATATAAGGCATGAACGTCCCACTCTACAAATCCAGTCATTACCGCTTCCAAGCGCTCAATATCAACACGCAATCTTTCAGTCATGTCTTTTGTTTCTGTCTCTGCGGCAGTTCTGGCCTTCTGCGCTCATAGCGCATCCGGATGGGTCATCGGAACCCAACAGACAGAGACGCACCCAAAGATCACATGGCAACGTTGCACTGGCACAGGCGGAACGTCCTGCAGTAACGTGAATGGAGAAATCGTCATTGATGCCAATTGGCGTTGGCTCCATTCTACCGGGGGCTACACGAACTGCTACAGCGGCAACGAGTGGAACAAGACCGCCTGTCCCGACAATGCAGCATGCACCAAGAACTGCGCGATTGAAGGCTCCGATTACCGTGGAACCTATGGTATCTCGACGTCTGGAAACTCGCTTAGTCTCAAGTTCATTACAAAGGGCCAGTACTCGACCAACATTGGGTCCCGTACGTATCTGATGAAGGATACCAACAACTATGAGGTAAGCCCTCCTTCGATATATTATGAATCCAAAAAAATCTGACTGGACAATTTTCGCGCGTTAGATGTTCCAACTTATCGGCAACGAATTCACTTTCGACGTCGATCTCTCACAGTTGCCATGCGGTCTGAATGGCGCTCTGTACTTTGTCTCTATGCCTCAGAAGGGTCAGGGAACACCAGGTGCCAAATATGGAACAGGTACGGAGTATGAAGTCACAAAACATGCACAAGTCTCTTACAGCCCATAGGATACTGCGATGCGCAGTGCGCACGAGACTTGAAGTACATTGACGGCCAAGCCAACGCCGAAGGCTGGACGGCCTCGTCCTCCGACCCCAACGCAGGCATTGGCAAGAAGGGCGCATGCTGGTACGTCCATTCGCTCCTCCTCAAGGTCATGTCTAACAACATTTCAGTGCCGAGATGGACGTTTGGGAGGCAAACTCCATGGCCACAGCCCTAACCCCACATTCCTGCCAACCGGAAGGCTACTCCGTCTGCGTCGACGACAACTGCGGCGGCACCTACTCACTCGACCGCTACGCCGGTACCTGCGACGCCAACGGCTGCGACTTCAACCCCTTCCGCGTTGGCGTGACAGACTTCTACGGCAAAGGCAAGACCGTCGACACCAGCAAGAAGATGACCGTCGTAACGCAATTCCTGGGCTCCGGCAACAAACTCACAGAACTCAAGCGCTTCTACGTACAAAACGGTAAAGTCTTTGCGAACCCCGAGCCTACTGTTCCCGGCATGGTGAGTTTTTGCGTACATCCGAAAAGAATGAGGATGCAGAGAGCTGATAGATGAGTTTAGAAAGGAAATTCAATCACCCAGCAGTGGTGCGACACGCAGAAGGAAGTCTTCCAGGAAGAAATCTATCCGTTTAATAAGTTTGGCGGTATGGACTCGATGGGTAAGGGTATGGCGCTGGGCATGGTCCTCGTCATGTCGCTTTGGGACGACCACTACGCCAATATGCTCTGGCTCGATGGCAACTACCCCGTCGACGCGGATCCAGCGAAGCCCGGTGTGGCACGCGGCGCATGCGAAGCCGGTAGCGGTGTGCCTGCTGATGTGGAGGCCAGCAGTCCTAATGCTCAAGTTGTCTTTTCCAACATCAAGTTTGGGCCGATTGGAAGTACATTTGCGCAGCCTAAGTAAGGGTCGAAAAGAGAAAAAAAAGGGCGGAGGTTTGGAGAGGTGGCCGTGAAAAGCAAAGCCACGTAGGTGCCCCTTTCTGCGGTGGCCGCCGCTGGAAAGTTGCTGGTGTACGTATGCAAAGTCTGGGTCATGCCACCCCGTTATCCTCTCGTTTGTGGCTCAGCTGGATTTCCCCACGTTTGTTGGGGGTCACGTTCGCTTACATTTTTCTCCTTTCTGGTTTGTGATTCGTTAAGGAGAATTAAATTGCTGGCAGTGTTATAATCATCATTTTGGGACACATGGCAAGTGACGCATCGTGTTTCATGCGCTGTTCGAAAGTCGTTTGCTGCCTGGTTCCTCTAACATGTTCTTTTATTCGCTCCCAGCTGCATCATACCTGCGTTTGACCCGACTTGAACAACACATCTCTCCAACTCAACACGACCACCTTGACTCAAGCCATTCACACTTCCATCTATTATAAACGATATATTGCCCCGAAACGTTGAAATCCAGCACTTCAGATCCTACCACTCCATATACTCACACGTACCAATATCGTCCTCGAACATCGATTCACCTAAACAATACCACTCACCACATACTTCCGCAATGCTCGAAAACCACACACCCAATGCAGATCAATGCTGGCTACCTTGTCCAGGCGATGACCTGGAAGAAGATCAGTGTGACTGCTGTTCTTGCAATGGACACCGATGAGATATGGAAATGGAAACATAGGAAAAGTTGGCCAAGGATATTTTGAATTCTAGGATTTACTGGTTAGAAATAGAGTCATCAATGTGAATGGAAAATGCATGTGCCCATAATGTTTCACTCTTGGCCTACATATCTAAGTCCGCCTGTCATAGCTACAAATCTGCGATTTACTCATAACTCTGGAACTTCATCAGCCCATGGAATACTTGACTGTGCGCCCTCCCTCTGTACAGTCATTGACGCAGCTCTGTTTGCCTGCGCAATGGCCGCGTCAAGATCGAAGTCAGCACCTTTTGACATAACTTTCCAGCGGGCTACAGCAACGGTATAAGCACCGGCAAACGTGTCGCCAGCAGCCGTTGTGTCAACGACTTGAACCTTGCGTGCTGGAACAATGACACCTTGCTGAGACGAAGCTTGCTGTTTTGCTGTCTTGTAAAAGACACCCTATTACATCCCGTAAGTAAAAAAAATCTCTGTATCAATTCACAAAGACATTGAAGAAAACTCACCTCTCCTCCAAGAGTGATAATCACATTCTTCACCCCCCTCGCAATAAAAATCCCCGCAACCTCATCCCAATTCGTTGGCTTTTCAATCCCACTCAAAATGGCAGCCTCCGTCTCATTAACAATGAGATGCCCCAACCCCTGATACGCCTCCATCGGCAACGCAATCGCAGGCGCAGGATTAATAATAGTCTCCACCCCCTTCTTGCGTGCCACAGCCATATTATGCAGCACAACCTGCAGCGGCAACTCGAGCTGGAACAAGGCAACACTCGCATCGTCATCCACGAGATCTTTGACAGGAACATCACCATTCGCACCAGGGTTAAACATGATGCGATTCTCTCCGGAACCCGTCTCAACCACAATGACAGCTACACCCGTCTTCTTTCCGGGGAGAATCTCTACTTTGTCGGTGTTGAGACCATCGTCTCGCAGTGCTTTTAAGAAGGACTGGTGGAATTCATCTTGGCCGACTGCACCGACCATGCGCACCTCTACATCGGAGGCTTGCGCAGCGGTGACTTGGGCTTTTGTGCGTGAGAGACGGGCGCAGGCGACGGCTTGATTGGCGCCTTTGCCGCCCCAGCCGATGTTGAAGGATTCGCTGGCGAGGGTTTCGCCTGCGACGGGGATGCGGTGGGTGCGTGTGACGAGGTCGACATTGAGAGAGCCGATTACAGAGATCACGGCTTGCGGAGAAGTCATTGTTGCGAATGGTTGGTTGCTGATCTGCAATTGGGCGTTTTTATGGTTGGTTGGTGATGGCGATGACGTTGGTAGGATGTGGTGAGGCTCTTCGGGCCGCTTGTGGATGGCGCTATTTTAGGTAGGCTAGCCGAGCCCATGGGGAACTGGAATTCGTGCTTAGGTTTATCATTGCATCGGGACACGTCGTATGCATGTGGAGAATATAAATTCACTTTGAGACATGTTGAAACGGTAGGAATTGAATGTGGAATCATATGGTATCTCATTGCTGGCGTTGTAGTAGTCTGCCCAGGAGTTACTTGCTGCGCTTGTAGATCTTTTGGAGGAAAAGCTCGAAGATGTCCTTCTTCAGACCCTCGCTCTCATCAACCTGGGCAATCTTGGCCCTCAGATCAGCAACACGCTCCTCCTCCCACTGCTCATAGAACTCCTTGAGCTTGAGTTCGTGGTACAGTTCCTTGACCTTGGCCTCCTTCTGAGAATCCTTCTGGCCATAGTTCTCATCGAGCAGCTTCCGTTGCTCGGGATTGACCTTCTTCAAGGCCTGGTTGACGAGCCATGAACACTTGTTGTCCATGATGTCGGTCCCAATCTTGCCGAGAACCGAAGGGTCAGCGAAGGCATCGAGGTAGTCATCTTGAGCTTGGAAGTACTCGCCCATAGGGACAAGAATGTCCTCGGCGGTTTTTAGGTTCTTTGGTGTGGCGGCACCAGCGTAGTAGAGAGCCAGGGCAACGGGGAGGTAGAAGGAGTAGTAAGCAGTCTTGTAAATGACAATGAAGGTGAACTTGTCGAGGCTGAAGTTGTCGAGGTTGACATCATCCTCTGGGGCAGTGAGGAGATCGCAAAGCTGACCACATTCGGTCTGGAAGGTGACCTCGTGGAACAGCTCGACAATGTCGACGTAGCTTTTTTCTTGTCGGAAGTGCTTCTTGAGCAGTACATAAATGGAAGACTCGAGCATGAAAGCATCGTTGATGGCAATCATGCCAACCTTGGGCGCGAGGTACCAGCAGGGGCTTCCACGACGCGTCTTGGAAGAGTCCATAATGTCGTCAGAGACGAGGAAAAAGGCTTGAAGAAGTTCAATCATCCATCCTAGAAGAGCGGCGCGGAAGTACTCTTCAGAAGAGGGATCGAGCGTCTTGCCCTGGAGGATGGACGTTGTGTCAATGACGGACATTCCTCGGTTGCATTTTCCACCGACTGTGTTGTAGTCGAGCGACTGTTTGTTTTGGCGTGGTGAGCATCATGGACCCTGAAGATGTTCGCTGTGTGGTGGGGCAGGACGTACCTTTGTGAACCAATCAAGAGACTGCTGGGGCAGCTTGTATTGTTTGCAGTGATCCTGCAGGTCCGCGACAATGCGTGGCCATACGCTCTCAAACTCTTTTATTGTGGTCGGCATCTTGATGGCAGAAGGTGGCTTACAGATTCAAGATGGGGAGGGGCAGCAGTAAATGTTGATGGAGGCGGTGTCTAGTTGTAGTCTGGAAGTCTGTCGGCAAAAGGTTAAGCCGGGCAATTGGTTGCTGCCCCACCGCGACGTACCCTAGACAGGCAGCTCAACAACAACGCGTGCATCGGTCACCGAAGCTCTGCCCGGAAACCGTAATCACCGCGCTGTATATAGAAGAATTGTGCCCAAACCAGCGATACCCTGTTTTCGTCTGGATTCGTCATGGGCACCTTATCGCAGGCTGACGAGGCCCAGCTCAAGGCCCAGCTCCAGGACGCCGTCATTAGCTGCACCGAGCGCTGCCTCTATCACTCGGCCAAATGGTGCGTACTGGCCTTGGGTGATGTCTGGCGGGCGCGTGTATACTGATGTTGACAAGGGCTGCAGAACTGCTCGACTCTCTCCCTTCGCCTGACGACGATGATGGCTCAGACACGGATGTCGACTCGCCCATGTCTGACGCGCACCCACCACCAACACCAGCACCTGTGCCCAAAGACGCTACTGAAGCGCGTCTAGAAGCGCGTGAAGCCCACAAGTTCCTCCTTGCAAAAACATACTTTGACTGTCGCGAATACGATCGATGTGCCGCCGTCTTTCTCCCGGGGCCCTTGCCCAAGGGCGCGTCGAATCCTTCTTCGACCCCAACGTCAAAGTCCAAGTCGGCCAAGGGAAAGGCCACCATGTTTACCCCAACAAAGGGAAAACTGTCCAATGATACAGTCAAGGGCATCAGCCAGAAGTCGCTCTTCCTGGCACTCTATGCCAAGTACATTGCGGGTGAGAAGCGCATGAACGAGGATAGCGAGATGATACTGGGTCCCCAAGATGGAGGCGTCACCATGAACAAAGAGTTACCAGTTGTTTCCGCTGTCCTGGACGAGTGGTTCAGAGATCTCCCTAACAGTGGGCGGCAACCACAAGGCTGGCTCGAGTATCTGTACGGCATGGTGCTGGCCAAAGGAAAGAACGAGCAGCTTGCCATTGACTATTTGGTCAAGAGTCTTCATCAATACACGTACAATTGGGGTGCATGGCAAGAGTTGCAGGCACTGCTCAGCACTACCGAAGATCTCAACCGAATCGTCGCGCGTCTACCACAAAATCTCATGACCTTCATCTTCCATGTCACATCCTCGCAAGAGCTATACGTCGTCAGCGAGCAGATACACTCGTCGCTGTCGCAGATTCTCACCATTTTCCCCACTTCGGCCTTTCTCAAGACCCAACGCGCTCTACTCCACTACCACAACAAGGACTTTGATGATGCCGAACAAATCTTCTCTGACCTCCTCATCTCCGATCCCCACCGGGTGGACCATCTAGACAACTACTCCAACATTCTCTATGTCATGGGCATGCGACCCAAACTTGCATTCTTAGCCCAGCTGGCCACTTCCACAGACAAGTTTCGTCCAGAGACGTGTTGTGTGGTGGGCAACTACTACTCACTCAAATCCGAGCACGAAAAGGCCGTCATGTACTTTCGAAGAGCTCTGACACTCGATCGCACCTTTTTGTCAGCATGGACATTGATGGGTCACGAGTTTGTTGAAATGAAGAACACCCATGCCGCCATTGAGTCGTACCGGCGGGCTGTCGATGTCAACCGCAAAGATTATCGCGCATGGTATGGTTTGGGTCAAACGTACGAAGTGCTGGAAATGCATTCATATGCGCTCTTTTACCACCAACGCGCCGCTGCGTTGCGGCCGTACGATCCAAAGCTCTGGATGGCTGTTGGACAATGTTTTGGCAAAGTCGGCAAGGTCATGAATGGAATACGGTCATACAAGCGTGCATTGGTCGCTGGTTCCTACTACGATGCAGGCGTCGGCACATCGTTTGGTAGTGGCGAAGTCTCTGGACTTGCCGGGGGCGTCCTGGACCCCGATGTGCTATACCAAATTGCGCTGCTCTATGAGCGCATAAATAACATGAACGAGTGTGCAGCATATATGGAGCTTGTCCTTGCTCAGGAGGAAGGCCCCGATTATGAAGAAGCTGGGATGGAGGGCGCAGGCGGTGTTGGTGTAACTGCTACAACAAGCAAAGCTAGGCTGTGGCTCGCACGTTGGGAGTACATGCGTGGCATGTATCAAAGAGCAATGGAGCTTGCGAACGAGCTTTGTCAAGACGGCGTGGAAGTCGAGGATGCGAAAGCACTTGTACGAGACATCAGGGCACGTATGGAACGAGCAGGGGAGGAAGAAGAAGCAGATTGAAATGCATCTAGTGTATAGGAATTAACTGAGCATTTCCAGGCGTACAGGTATGATACCCAATCGAACAAAATATACCATTTCTTGGACTTTTACTCAATGCCCTGACACATTACCATTACTCGCTTAGATGTTGAACTTTGCAAGATGTTTCGTTTATTGACATGATGGAGAACAATACTTCCTGAAAAGGGACTTACACGCAACGTTGGTGGTACAAACAACTGCGGGTCTTGGCAATAGATGAGACTAAGACCCAATTGAGCTATTTCCGTCGGCAAGGGATGTACTTTGCCGATGTTACGTAGCTCTCGGAAAAAGCACATTTTCGGACTTACGTGGAAACCTTTCATACGGCCCGCATCCAGTTGGTGAAAAGCCTCAATAGTTTTTTAGCATGTTGACTGGTCAGAAGTTCCGACTAATCGCGGCGTTTGCAGCTTCAAGTACCGTATCCTATCAGACCTCATACCCATCATTACTGTACACCAAAAGAGTTTGAAGATTACTGAACTACCTCGATGCTAGCACTCTTATTTTAGTATCTTCTTTCTAGTAAAAACTTTGCTTGGACACGATAACTTAGGTACGCCACCACATACATATGAATCTTGGATTGATAGCTCCCGGCGAGGATATACCTCATGTGTGCAGAATATCAAGTTAAAGCATACAGACTACTCTATCACCACTATTGCCTGTCTTGAACCAATCATCGTTTTCGTCTACGTAGCAATTTTCAGAATCAATGCAAGCACTGGAGAACCAAGAAGACAGCACCAAGAAAAAAGCTAATTGTACTAAGTCTCAGTGATCATATTTACCCAATGAGATCAGCGTAAATACTACAGTCAATCGCTAATTAACAATCTACAATGAACCCCACATAGTGTGTATACATTCAGATGTTTAGTATACACATACAAGCACCAACTTCGAAAAAAAGCAACCTCTTAGCCGCTTCGATGCAAAAGAAAAAGCAAATATCTCGGCTCAAAGGAAGCGGACGCACCCGTACCCATATTCCCTTTTCAGCAACAGCATCAATTACTAGCCCCACAACTGCAGGTAACTTCCCAGGCCGGATGTATCCGCCGACCATGAGACACGACTTCCTTCTCCCTCTCCCTTCCTCTACTTATTCCCAGAAAAAAACATTTTCGAAACCACATTCTTATTGAAATCCCGCAATCATGCTTTTCTAGTATAGTAGTAGGCTCTGTAAAAAAAATTGTTTCTCCAAAGATGGTAAGTATGTCTCGGGATGCCGAATCCCCATCCCGACATCCACCTTGGCGCCAACGTGTTGAACCCTCCAACGGCCCGTCCCTACGAGACAGGGATCCGTATGCGCATGCGGATGCGGGTGTGGAGGAGGAAGGGGGGAAAGATGGTGTGTTGGTGTGTGTAGGCTGCGGGGTAGGATAGTTGCTTTTTTTTCTCTTGTAGCTAAGGTGGAGGAAAGGTGGTTGTGCACGGAATAGAACATCGACTATGTATGTGAGTTTGAGAACTCACGATTTTATTTTGGAACATTGTGGGTTTATTGAAGGAGACGTATTTTCAAAATGCAGTTGGTGATATGGAAAGTAGAGTTGCGATATGAGAAAGAAGACTCCGTACAAACGGGTAAGCGGTACCATGCGTACTTAGTCGACGCAAGGCTTGCTTTTGAATCGATAGTAATCTTCCCTGCGTACGCCACGCCATAAGCCTCTTTATTTTTTTCGGGATCATGTGTTTGTTTGTGAGGCGAGGAATAGACATAAAGTGTGGTTACACAAGCAATAGGCTGGCTGACTTTTTGTTCGCTTACATGCGGTATTGCTTTGAATGTGTTTCTTTTTGCTGGATTCACCGGAAGGAAGGTCCAGGCAATCGGATCATTTACACTAAGCGTGGTACATGTGTGTATGACGTTATTGATGAGGGTCCAGAATGCGTGTCATATTATTGTTTGGTAAGGGTCCATCAACGGTACGTAAGCGGCGCGTAGAGTTGGCTGCTTGCCTGGTACAGTGGAGGGCAGGGTCTGTACATCCCTTTCTTGTCTACTGTGAGATTTCTGAACTGCCAAGTTCAACTGAAGTGAAGTAAAAAAATACCATCTGCTATATGGTCTGGATGTCTTGACCGACGAGATCAACACTAAGACGAACTTGCCACGTTATTTCTCGGCAGTAGGCCCCGATACAGTTCCAAAGTGTGTAACAAGCAGTCACAAAGGTCATCCACCACAAAATTTAAACCGGCATTATGCAGATGTTCTATCTGGCGATCCACCGAGTCTTTTCACCGCCTCTTGCCACGACTACCGGAACGATATGGTAGTGGTGGAGACCATAGAGATGGACATTGCATATTCTGTATTTGCTGATTCTGAAGCTACCGATAATGACTAGTGGCAAAATAGAAAAGTTCAGTATACAGGTCTTCTAGAGAATCAAAGGAATATAAATACTTGCGATACAGTCACTTTGGAAAGACACAAGCAACATCTCCAAACCTTCCATCATCACTACCAATCCACTCTTCTCCTCATACATTCAAGTCAGTCCCGACCCTCTCAATCCCCCATACATTTCTAATCCCGAAAAAGACTAGATCACAAACAATAACCAGCCATGGGTTCTATGCCAATCGCCATGCGCTCCTGGATCTCAGTTGAGTCCTGGGGCCCTGACCGCCTCGACCTCGTCGGCATCGGTGGAGACAACCAAATGTACCGCAAGTCATTCGACCGGAGTGACCAAGGATGGAAGCCCTCTATTGATGGCGCATGGGAACCACTCAACGGCAAATTCCAGCAGATCCCCGGCGTCATCTCCTGGAGCCACGGCCGCCTCGACATCTTCGGCGTTGGCCTGGACAAACACGTGTACCGCAAGACGTGGGGCAACCACCGCAAGGAGGGCGGATCGTGGATCAACAGCCAGTGGCAGAGTACCGGCGGTGAGCTCAAGAGCCAGCCTGTGCCTGTGTCGTGGGGCAATGGCCGCATCGACATTTTTGCCATCGGCATGGACGACCAGATGTACCGCAAGGTGTATGGAGGCAAATGGGATTCCGAAGGCTGGGAACCGCTGACGGGCAAGTTCAAGAGCCCCCCAGCAGCGGTGTCATGGGGTAGCGACAGACTGGATGTTTTCGGCATCGGAATGGACAACCAGATGTACCACCGGGCGTTTGAGAACGGTGCGTGGACTACGTCTGGCTGGACTGGAACGAACGGTACTTTCAAGAGCCCGCCGGCTGTTGTCTCGTGGGGCAAAGGCAGGCTCGATGCCTTTGCCATTGGCATGGATGACCAAATGTACTTCAAGTCGTTCGACAACGGTAAGTGGTTGACCAGCAACTGGCAGGGACTGGGTGGAAAGTTCAAGAGCACCCCTTCAGTTGTCTCGTGGGGCAAAGGTAGGCTCGATGTCTTTGGCATTGGCATGGACGACCAGATGTACCACAAGGCATTCGACAACAATCAGTGGGTGGGTGACTGGAAGGGAATGACTGGCAAGTTCAAGAGTGCTCCAGCCGCCGTCTGTTGGGGCAAGGGACGCATCGATGTTTTCGGCATCGGACTCGATGATGCGGTTTGGCAGCAGTACTACGCTGACGGCAAGTGGTCTGGCAAGTTTGGAAGCTTGGGCGGAAAGTTCAAGACTTTTTAGATGGGTGTCATCTGATATGCAACTTGATTCTTACTAGAGGATTTACAGAGCTTAGCATATCACTCTTCCTTGTCCACACTACAAGAACTGTTGATAGCAATGAAAACACATGACCTTATCCCAATTCTATCCACATCACAAACTCCACCCTACCCACTCTCCCCCCACCTTACCCCTTCCCCCCTCGCCTCCTCCTCCCCGGCAACCCGATACGACCTCACCTCCGCAAGCCCAAACCTCCTCCCCTTAACCAGATACCCCTTAAACCCCTTATGCGTGACTAGAAAAACATTTTCATACCCCTCCTTCTGCATCGCCTCCCCAACCCTTCTCCTCACCCTCTCCGCCCTAGCTACAACCTCCTCTTCGCTCTCCCCCGCATACCACCCTTCCTCCGGACAACTCGAGAAGTCAAATTGCGGGAATGTGGCGGCGAGATTGCTGCGTGGTGAACACTGGTTGCACGGGCTGCTGGAGGGGGTTTCGCGGAGGTCGGGCCAGATGTGTGCGGGGACGCGGGTTGTCGTGAGAGAGGCAGAGGGGGAAGAGGAGAGAAAAGGAAACATATTCAACGCTGTTTGGATGGTGCGGGTCAAGGGGGAAATGAGGATGAGGTCGGGGTGCGCGGGGAGGTGCTTGTGTTTTGTGGTGTAGTGGCCGGATTTTGTCAGCGGAGGGTCGCGGTCGGGGTAGGCCGGGTGTGTGTTGTGGAGGGCTTCGCCGTGGCGGACTATGTGGATTAGTGGGGGCATGCGGTGATTTTGGAGAGATTGGATGGGGGTGGATGAGATGTATTTTGGTTGAAGATTGAGGTCTGGGTAAGCCATGTTGATCGATGCTCAAGTCAGGGATGACGTAGTGTTTGTGGAGATCTATTACCTTGCAAAACTTGGTGCATGCTTGGGTAGTTATTTTATTTATCACATTGTGCACAACGCCCGGAAGTCCATGTTAGTGGTCGTATTTACAGCTAGTTGTCTGAAGGGCAGTATGCAAGCAACGACACAAAAACATGTACGTGTAGAGAAAGTGAAAAGAGTCCGTCATATATGAGTGCCAGCCTCTATACTACACATAACAATGTAAAAAAAAGAGCAACCAATTGTACAGATACAAACACGATCCCATGATCTCTGAAATGAATCTTAAGCAGCGTAACAACGAAAAAACCACAAGTCTTATATATATGAATTCTCCTAATCACAACCCCCTAGAAAACGCCGCGTGGTATGCAATACAAAAAGGCCCCCTCACACAAATGGCCCAGTAAAATCAACTGGGAAAGAACAACTACATCTTTTCTATCGCAACATATAACTCAAATCCGGCAACCCGGCCAGTATTTCTCTAATCGTTTTCTCTTCCTCATTCTTCCGCCGTTGAGCAGAGTTGGTAGCGCCGGTAAGAGGCTGAATGGCCGGTGGCGTCACAACGCGCGGTGGTGATGACCTGGTAAATGTCTTGGCCGAAGATGCAGCGCTGTTTGGTCGCGGTGGAGGAGTTTGGAAGACGGAAAAAGGATCTCCAGGCTCATATTTTGCTTTTGGCTGTGCAATCGCTGTCGGTGGAGCTGATTCAAAGATTGAGAAGTCTGCGTCTGCCCATGAATCTACTATCGGCTCGGGTTTCGCTGGAGCTCGAGGTGGAGTCATAGGTTGGACAGGGCCTGATTTCAAGGTACTGGTTTCGAATACAGAAAAGTCATCTACCACATCATTTGCTGAAGGCTCGGGATCTTTAGTCTTGACATCGGAAGTCTTTTCCACTTCGCGTACTAGCGTCGTCTCTTGTGCTTGACGTGGAGGAGTCGCCCGCAGTGGCACTGATAGCGCCTCGGGCTTGGGCTTTTCAGGTGTAGAAGCGACAGGCCGCTTGACCGGCTTCAAGATCCCAGGTCCAATGGGGCCATGTTCAGCACCGAATGGAACAAAGCTCTTTCGTCCAAATACAGCAGAGGTTGGCGATATTGTACTCTTTAGGCGAACAATAGAAGCTGCGTGCATGGCGTCGGCTGATGAATCTTCAAGTGGCGACTTGTCAGGGGCTGGATCCAAAGTTGACACAGTATTATCGGGAGTGGCGGATATAGAGTTCGGGAAGGCTGAAACGGGGGAAAACGTGGTGGGACTTGATATCATCTCACCCCAATCATCATCTTCGTCGTCGGGGACATTGGCGATTTGTTTTGGAACAGCAGTGTTTGTGTCGAGAGCGCTGGTGTCTCCCCATGAGTCTGCTGACGTTGTGGTCGGAGGTGGAGGTGGTATTGTGTTCGCGACATTGGGTGTTTCAAGGGAAATAACCGTTGACCCTGGTCTTTCCCCAACACTATGCACAAGGTCCATTGAAACAGGACGGGAATTTCGTGTTTGCTCATTTTGTATAGCAGTAGGCTTGGATGTGGGAAGTGAGACTACCGAGTTCAGACTTGGGTTGTCTTGATTCCAAGGGTTTCCTGTGGATGTGGGAGAAGCCCAGTTGAACGCAGCTGCCGTGTTCGTAGCCATTGGTGGAAGGCTTTGCCTCATTGGTGCGTTTATGCGCTCAGTCGGGACTGACGTCTTCGTACGTTGGTGACCCTTGGGTATCCTGGGCTCGACTGGTGCCGGGGTGTCCCAGTAAAATGAAGCCCGGGCACCGGGTCCTGTACCTGACATGCAGTCTTCGCGCGCCCACCTAGCTACAGTCTTGTGAACTTCAGACCTGACTTGAGAGCCCGGCCATGTAACTCGAACGTAGCTGTCATCACTATTGCCGCTATTGAACTCCTTCATGGTTTGCTTGCGCGTGAGTCGATACCAGGCCTTGCGCCCGGAAGTTGAATATATCGGGTCCTCCGGAGCTTCGTCCAGTTCCACTTCATTCTTCTTTGAAGGGAGTAGTTCATCAAGAAGAGTGGCGTCAAGCTGATATCTTCCGATGGGAGGTATTGCAGTGGTGGTACTTGTCGTCAGAGATGCTGGTATCGGTGGAGATGCTGGTGCTGGCTCAGTGCGTGACGATGTAGAGTTTCTGGGCATGTCCTCCTTCGAGTCACTTGCTGCATCCTCAGTAGCACCACTCCGATCCTGAAGGCTCTCAGTCAGGAGCGTGTCTGCTGTAGAAGTTCCGTATTCGTCCTCTGTACTGTCGCTGTCCGAACTTGAGCCATGCTCCTCTTCCTCGTCTTCCTTCTCGTCAACATTTTCATGGTCTTCCTTTGCCTCTATCTCCTCTGCGGTATGCTTTGCAATTGCCTCCTCGTCCTCAAGCGATGTCCGAGAGGATTCGATCGGCGCTTCATGGCGGCTGATCTCGGATTGAGATGTAGATGGTCGTGCGGAGTCGTTGTCGTCAGGTTGCGACCGGGTCGCAGCATCTTTCGCGTTTCGTTCTGGATCTGCGTCTGCGTCTGTGTCTGCCTGAATGGTAGTCGATGTTTCTGACGTGTCCGAAGTGCCGTTGTCGAGGTCAGGAGAATCTCCATTCTGACCTGCCCATGTTTCCTCAGTATTCGATATGGTACCCTTGACTCCCTCGTCTATTCTCCAATGGAAAGTATCTTCAGCGACGTTGTGATTTCTCAAAGGGCTCGGGCTAGGTAGCCGGGTGTCTACGTGGGCGACGCTGGGAGCACCGATCCCAGTCGACGCACTCCAGTCGCCAAAACTCTCGTCTTCGTTCCCCCAGCCTGCATCATCAAGGAACCCATTCAATAGCACTGGAGCAGGCGCAAGTGTAGGTGGTGGAGGTGAAATCACCGGGTTCTTGTTCGGGGTCTTTTGTTGCTCGACATTACTATCTGCCCAAGGGTCGCCCCAATGATCCATTGTCGCGTTACCGCGTCAAGCGTCATAGTGAATTGCTTCTGCTAAAGAAGCATCACCGGGCTCCAGGATTCGTGCGTGTGTGGCGTTGGGGTAGGCGGTTGCGAAGGATCTAGGGCCAGCTTACCGCAGAGAGGTACCTACTTGCACTTGCACGGTGTTGCCAAGCCGGGAGCCGGCCAGCCCGCGGCCGGCCAACACCATGCGCGTTTCGTTGCGCCTCGGAAGTGAGGCATTTGCATTTCACAACACTAGTACCATAAGCCAATATTATGGGTCCCAAATGTATTGGATTCTATGGTCAACTACAACGAGACTTGTCGCTATGATGTAATTCCTTCTCCCTGTCTCCGGGAAGCCAGGGTCATAAGTAATCCGTCTTACTGCATTCCCGCATGCCGTGCCAGCGTGCTCCCCGTTTTACTTTTCCTTCTGCTTCATCTCAATAGCATACCATTTTCTTCTCAGACGCTGCAATGCCGGACATGTTTGTACTTGGAAGAAGGTTTACCGCATTCTAGGTCGGCAGGTGTAGGCCAATGCAAGACTCTAACTGGGTTCCAGCAGCTGCCTGTGTACTAGCAAATAGCAAGCTCGGCCAGATTATTAGAGCCGACTATCCTAGCAATTGATCCACTGCGGGTCCGTCAAAGAGCTTTGTAGATCTCATTGACCGTGCGCTAGCTAACTTCTATCGCGCTCACGTTAGACAATCTGCTAGAAGAGAACGGACAAAAGTGTAAATGAATGCAGCACCCGCCAATGGAATCGGAAGTGAGGACATGTGATATGCGAGAGACGCTGAAATGCCCGATGTTCGAGACGCACACATGTAGAGACCGACCAAAAACGCCAAGAGACCATGCAACTGTATAGGAAAATAACTCAAAAACACTCTAAGGCGGTTGCACCGAGATCCGCCTTGTCGGAAACAATAAAGTCGTAAATCAAGGTGACATCTGTTATCGTACAGACTCAATGATGGAAATATCATCGACCGCATCCTCGTCAGCATCGTCGTGAAGAACCTTCTTGAGGCCGTTGTCAATGGTGACGGCACCGATTTCTTCCTTGGGAACCCAGAGCAGCTGGATCGCGCCAATGATGGCCATGGCAGCAAGACTGAACCAAGCTGCTGCCGAGCCTCCAAGAGAGTAAATGAGTCCAATCATTGGACAGGAAATAGTTCTTGCCAGGCAGCATGCAGACATGGCGAGGCCGTTGACGCGACCAAGGACGAGTGGGGATGGGATGGCGTTCTTCATCAAAATCAGAGCGCATGGGAAAACCACGATTCCGAAAAAGGCTTGCAAGAAGAGAACAAAGTAGACACCGGTAGTCTCGAATATGGGCGGAAAGGCGGTGATAAACGGAACGAATAGGTACGTAATGGGGTATAGGACGATCATCCAGATGAAGGAATTCCAGACTCCAGCCCACTCTACAAAGATGGGGAAAATGAAGCCCTGGACAAAGAGCGTGATGAAACCGTTGACAGTCAAAAAGGTGCCTACGTCAGGAATGTCCTGTCCGAGACCGCCATGGAAGTCGAGGCCTCTGTGGCTGTGGTCATCTAGGACCCAGACTGGAAGGATTGAGAAGAAGGCCATTTGGTGGAAGGCGAGAATGGACATTGCGAGGATGACCATAAAGACGGTCCTGTTGAAAGTCCGACGAGGCTTGGGGGGTGGACCGCCACGAACAGGTAGCACATCTTGATGGATCTTGATCGAATGCATGGTTCCAAAGGATGAACGGCGGATATCGAAACGCTGGTCAAAGGGCATGGGCATACCTTCCTCCATGAACGAGGCTCGCTTGCGAATATGGCGAATACTGCCTGAAACGGAGATTGAAGCCAAGCGATCGCGGGTAAAGCTAGCAATGGAGCCACGGTGGCGCGTAGATCCAGCGGTTGAGCCGCGAGGGTCGCGACCGAGATGCTG